TAGTCTGTGGGGTTTGCGAGCTTAACCGCTAAGCTATAGAACCCAAACCAATAAGAAATGTTTATTCAAATTGACTTTTTGAATAACTAGCAAATTTAAACTTTTTATTTAGTACTTATTAAATTTATATAGTTGTAAAAGGTTTTTTTTTAGTGAAGATCCCATATATTATTAAGTATTAAATGTTATAGCAAATTGTAATTTGGATTTAGTAATTCTAATCTTCAGATTTTTTGCTTTGGACTTTGATTTCCTAGTATAAGATTCTTTAGAACTGCTCTGCTTAACAATGCTTGAATAAAATCTAAGCCCCAAAGAGGCTAGTTTAAAAAAAAAAAAAAACAAAAAAGAATTTAAACAAATTTGCCTGTATTACAATTTAAGAAATATAAACATGTGGGTAAGCTACAGGGTTAGTGTAGACTCCTGGTGGGTTACACGTGACTGTCAACCATTCGTATCTCGAATTTTAGCAAATCAGCCAATCAGATTGTAAAAAAGTTGTGGGATTCAAGGGACTCAAATAATATGTTATAGAAATATCAATTCATCCGTTAAATTTATTCTCATTTCATAGAAATTAAGATACACGAGCTTTTAAAAGAATATTGTAAAATAAAAAAAAATTATTTATCAATCGTGTAACCATATCGGAATCATCTATGATATTGGAATAAATCTTTCAATCGGTGGAGATTAAAAAATAACACTTGTCAATTCATAATCAACAAAATTTCAGTAACGTACTTAGTTAATGTTAAAAAAAATTTTGCCTTAGAAAATTTCATAAAAAATATAAATGACTAAAGCTGTTAATAGTTTATAAGGTATTAAAAAATTTCTATTGCATACAGATATTTTTCTGTTTTCAATTTATCTGTACCCGACATCGATATTATCAGAAACCAATTTATATTAATTTTCTTAATATTTCATTTACTAATTTGGGATTAGCTTGTCCCTTCGTTTTTTTCATTACTTGTCCTACGAACCAAGCAAAAACAGTTTGTTTTCCTTCTTTGAGAGATATTAACTTTAATAATATAACAAAATAAAGTTTTTAATACATGGATAAACAAGTTAATGTCAAAGTAAAAATAACGAAATTACCTGTTTAGGATTTTGTAAAATAACCTCTTGACAGATTTTTTCAAGTTCACTGATATTATTTAATTGTCTCAAGCCTTCCTCTTGAATTATTGTAGAAGCCAATCTTGAATCTCCGGCAATCATTTTTTCAAGAATCTTTTTTCCAATTTTTCCTTAAATAGCGAACCATAATTCTAAGATTTATAAAATCTATTTAGAAAATAAAAATATTGATTACCTGTAATGTCTCCATTGTCAACACAATCAACGACAGAACCTAGCTGAAGTGCTGACACTGGATTCTGAGAAAACTTGATGTTTTTTGCGTGAAGAAGTCCAAATAATTCGTGTATAATCCTAATTTTGTTATAAAAAATATTATTATTTGCATCGGTCTTAAGTTTTCAGCACCACGCATATTTCATACCAATTTGAAACATGCTGTGGATTACGATTTTTTACTGCCTATGTTGACCGGATAGAAATGATCAATTAACATGCTTGTAGATATATTATTATTTATTTATTTATGACTTTTGATAATATTTTTACCTCCTCAAAATATTTTACACCACCGATTTCATTCATTAATACTATAACATCATGTAATGGAATACAATACTGCTTCATTATTCTCGCTTTAAGTTCGTCCGGTAATTCGGGTAAATTATTCGATATTCGCTCGATATAATCCTTCATTTACAATTTAACAAAAACGTCGAATTCGTCTAAAAAAAAAAATTTTCCAAGATAATTTAAGAATATGAATACCTTGTTTAATATTAATGGTGGCAAGTCTGGTTCGGGCATATATCTAAAAGCAATTATTTGTTAACGTCGTGTCATGAAGAAAAATACAAATAATCCTGCCAAATCCCACTTATTTATACAAATCATATTTTTTTGTTAATATAAATTTGTTTATAACAATTTCTGCTTATTTGCATAATATGAAAATATAGTTCAGTTAAAAACAGAGGTTCTATAAATTAGTAGAAATAAACAGGATCACTTTAAATATTATATTAAATAGCAAAGCATTCCTGATACCTATAATCAGTAGCAGTTTCTTTTGATCTTAATCTAAATGTTTGACTTTTTGACACGTCAAATCCTCTGGTCTCTTGTTCGATATTATTCCCATTTTCTAGTTCTTTTATCTGCCTTTCTATTTCCACGTCTAAATGAAAGAAATTTAGCCTAAATTTAATTCAATATCAAATTTTCATTGACATTGATATGTTTACCAATGGCTGCCATCAAAAACTTAATACTATTCAAATTTTTAATTTCACATCTGGTGCCATATGGTGTTCCATGTTCGTGTACAGAAACATTGACATCACATCGTAATGAACCCTAAAGATATGAAATACCCAGTTCTACTGAAATTCAAAAGGAAAAATGATATATCCAAGAACATCAAACCTCTTCCATGTTGC